TACATCATATCCTGTCAGCCAGCCAAACAACTCATTTCCGAATTGGTGGGTGCCCATCAAACAGATAGAGCAACATCCGAGCAGCATCTCCTACTTCCTGCTCTGCTGCCGCTGAAATGTTGCTGCTGCTTCCGAAACGGAGGATGCTGCCCTGCTGCACCGGAGGCAGGCGGCTATAGCCCATGCTACCATCCCGTCCTTGATGACCACGCCGGTTCTCAGCACATGTTCCCCACACAAGATGAAACGGGTTGATGCATGCACGCTCGTCACAGATGTGCATCGCATCATACTGTGTGTGCGGCAGCACATGTTGTTGTTGAGGTTGCTGCTGGGGTTGTTGCTGCTGCATAGACGGGACAGCAGACACTGGATGATGGTTGGGCAACAGGAGGGATGGAGGAGGTCCACGGAAGGCCCACAAAATGAGCCGGCATGCGTTTGTGGAGCTTGTGTACACATCAAGATCCGCACCCCCCTTACTGCAATAAGCGGCCTTGGTGTTCTTGCATTTTACCTGTGTCTTCTTGCCCCGCTGCAGCTTTTGCTTCTGGGGTTTGGTGCCCTGATTCTTGGGGCGGGCATCCTGCTGCACCGTCATTGTGTTCTGCTGCTTCTGCTGCTTCTGCTGCTGCTGCTGGCTTCTGGTGTTTGGACGACAGTGGCTGTCGCTCCCAGGAGCAGCAGCAGCAGCAGCATCCATGGGCAGCTCTTGTTTTTGCGGCTGCTTCTGGAGTGATACTAATTGCCATGGTCCTGTGATCATGACCCGGGGATAGTCACTGCGATGCTGCTTGCTGATGATAATGTCGATCTTTGCACCAGCAGCACCAGCAGCGCCAGCAGCATCAGCAGCACCAGCAGCACCAGCACCAGCAGCACCAGCAGCACCAGCACCACCTCCACCGTGACCACCACCACCACGACCACCACAACCACCACCACCACAACCACCACCAGCAGCAGCACCGGCAGCAGCACCAGCAGCTGCTGCTGTGGTGCATTGGAGCACCTGGAAGGGGTTCATGTGTTTGACATGATGGAACGGCTGTACCTCCTGGATCATGTCACCGTGATGTTTGCTGTACACTTGTTCATGGCCGGGATAGGATGTTCGTTCCCCACCCTTTTTGGAGGGGGAGGACTTGCACATGAAACAACATGGAGACATGCTGAGAGCCTCCCTCATGTTGCAGCAACCGTGCATCATCCGCGCTGCCACTGTAGCAGGTGCAGTCGTTGTTGTAGCCAACCTGTTGGTCATATTATCCTCCTCCTCCTTCTCCTCCTCCTCCTCCGCCGCCGCCGCCGCCGCTGCCGCCGCCACCTTCTGCTCCTCCTCCTCCTCACCATCCTCCTCACCATCCTCATCCTCATAATCACCATCATGATGTGCAGTAGTAATGGTGGCACTGCTGCCAGTGGTGCATTGCTGCTGCTGCTGCTGCTGCTGCTGCTGCTGCTGCTGCTGCTCATTACTATAGCGGTAGCAGATGGGAAGCTGCAGCAGCATTGCATTTTGGATGACCAGGTTGGCATCCTCATCTGCAGGGTCGAGTTGCAGTCTTCGAGCAATAACCTGCGCCCTGTGGTTCCACCCCGGAACATCTTGTGCAGCTACAATTCGGAACTTGGGGCGCAGACGGCTGCCAATAGCTGCAAGGATGGCATACGTGCGGCACAGCAGCATGACATCGCCATCGTCGGCAACAGGAGGGTGATGTCTTGTGTGTGGCACCCAGCTGAGGATTCCCAACATATGGACCCCACATCTGTACAGCCGCTGCTTGACATCTTCATCTGTCCACCTGTGCAACATATTGAGAGACAGATATACACACACACACACACACACACACACACACAGAGACGGAGAGACGGAGAGACGGAGAGAGGTGTTATATAAAAAAACCTACAGGTTAAACATATGTAACCCTAAGTCCTAGCGGTAAACATAGTGTATGTGTGAATGTATGTATGTGTGTGTGTGTGAATGTATGTATGTGTGTATGTATGTGTGTGTGTAAGGAAGAAAGCTATAATATACAGCCTGCTGCCTCTCTATATATCTATACCTTCTTTGTGGGTCACGGTGGTGGCCTCGGGCAGTGGATCTGTGGTTGACAACTGCTGGTGGCTGCTTCTTCTTCCACCATCTGGCAGTAGCACTAGTAGTAGCAGCAGCAGCAGCAGCAGCCGCAGCCGCAGCAGCTGCAGCAGCAGCAGCAGCACCATCATCATCGTCATCGTCATCATCATCATCATCAGCAGCCGCACCCGCAGCAGCAGCCGCCGCTGCCGCAGCTGCCGCCGCCGCCGCAGCCGCCGCCGCCGCCGCAGCAGCAGCAGCACCAAACAGCAGGCGTGCCTTCTTGTTTGGGTATTCCTTCCGTCGTGGCATTATCATTGCTGGTGGCTGTCGTGTTGGTGGCTTGATTGTTGTTGTGATGGTTGCAGGCGGGGTGGTGGGCAGGGTTTCAGCATTATGAATGGTGGAGATGATGTGCTGCTGCTGCTGCTGCTGCTGCTGCTGCTGCTGCTGCTGTGGTGGTGGCGGTGGTGGCAGCGACGGTTTGGAGGGGCTTGCTGCTGCTAGTCTACTTCTTTCTGCTCCTACTCCTACTCCTGCTCCTGCTCCTCCGCCTCGATCTTTATCCAGCATCACCTCCTGCTCCTGCTCCTGCTCCTCCTCCCCAGCAGTGCGGCTGCTCTCCACCTCTCAGCCTGAATCTCCTCCTCCTGCTCCCAAACCTCTTCCTCCTCTTCCCCCTCCCGCCAGCACTCTATAATAATAGCACGTGCCGCCTCACGTACGTCTTGCTTTTCCTGCTTCTTCCTGCAGCATGCAGAAAAAAAACGATATATTATTATATATACATTAAAAAACACATTTTCTTGTTTCAATTCAACAATGATTGTTATTATCAATAAACCAAAAGTTGAGCTGCACAAGTCGGTAAATATATCACGTCAGCGAACAACCCTGACCGCAACCGCAGTTGTTGCATCAGCCGTGACTTGAACCCACGTTCACCTATTGCGCATTCGTATTGCAATTACTACAATGTCTCAGCACTTATTAGGCTCACTCACCACTCCTCTCCGGGAGTAGGCGATGACTTTGACCGGGCAGCGTTAGCCTATATCCTATAACTTTCTTGTGAATCGCCCTTACTGCCGGCGTGTCCTTTCGAGGACGCTAAAGCTGTTTCTTTGTGCTTTTGTTGCGGTGTATTGATTGGTATTTGTCTTGTTCCGTGGCTCGCGCGCATTAGACACATGTCTGTTTCTGCTTCTTCGCGGCTTGTTTTCTACTTGGCGCCTGCTCCATAAATAGAATTTTAAAAACGTCCTGATAGCTCTCGCTGTGACGGTCTCATTTCAATTGTCTGTTTGTCGTCGGCGAGCGGTGAGAAGTAGGGGCGGCGCACTTTATTACTAATAATAATGACGTATAGTACGACAAAGCACACATGAGCAGCACGGCTGCTGTGCTTCTTCTTTTGCGGTTTCCGTCGTCGTTGTTGTTGTTGTTGTGTACCGATTATTATTTTGTTGTTGTTACATTCATTATTGTTGACCCTAAGTATTCAAGTAATAATATATAATGCATGTGCCGCAGAACATGATGATGAATGATGATGCTATGTGCCCGCTTCCGCTCCCGTACTTATACTTATTACTTTTCTTATTACTACTACTAATTGTAAAAACTTTGAGCGACTCTTCCCGGCAATTTTTATAACGATGACGACGACGACGACGACGAGGACGAGGATGAGGACGAGGATTGACGACCAGACACCACCACCAGCGAGCGCGATCGCATCGCATATCATTATATTCTTATTCTGATCATCACAGAGCACAGCAGAGGCGGCACAGCAAAGTTTTAGTGGTGGTGGATCATCGGCGTGTTGTGCACGCGGCATTGTGTTGTGCACGCGGCGAGATTGTTGTTGGTATATATACCGTTAGGGTTATTATTATTATTATTTTACATATGTGCCAAATCGTGCCAAGTTGATACAGCAGCATTGTTTGATTGTGTTGGTGTATATATGCATATAGAGAGATCGTGTGTCCGACGAGAAGGGAAAAGGGAGCATACACAACAACAACAACATGTACAACTATACGTGGGTGCATCATCGCCACACCGTCGTGCATGCGCGTGTCCCATATAATATCCACATACCCGCGGAGCCATCATATGCTGCGTATGTGTACTACTACTAATAAAGTAGTATCACGTACAGTACGACATGTACAACAACCCAACAGACAGACCAACAACATACATCGCAAGTGCAGTGCGCGGATATACATACATACATACATACATACATACATACATACACACACCCACAGTCTAAGTATTTAATAAAAACTCTCCCACAGTCTCCCTCGACATCATCCGCTCAGTCTCGCCGTCCGTATCCGTATCGCCGGTCCCCATCGCCATCGTCTCCCGGGGCCGGTCCCTCCCTCCATATAGGTAGGTTCTCTAGGTATATAATATCGTGGTGTACAACAGAGTGTGCACGTGAGCCGTCATCAACGTATATAAGATACAGCATACGTGTCTGCACCACATAGATAGACATATGTACGTGTGCACATCTCTGAGCAGCCCTGTGCATGGTCTCCGCTTGATAATAGATGAGGTTGTTATCATCACCTAGTTCATACATACATGCATGCATACCCTGCTCTGTGAAGATGACAAAAAAGAGGTATAGGTATAGGTACAACTACTACTACTACTACTACTACTACTACTACCACTACTATCTGGATTCTTTTGCCTGGGTGGCTGGCAATAATAATTATATATTTCAAAGTTACTCTGCTGCGGCCGCCATATGTATTATATAGCATCATCCCTATGGCATACTCCAGGCCGGTTCCGGCCCGGTTCCGACCTAACGGGTCCAGTTAACGAGATCGGTAACCGGTCGGTAGGATTACCGGGCGAACCGTTATCCGTTAACCGTCCCCAGTAATCGGTAACCGATGTCGGTAACCTGGCATGAGCCAAAATGAAATTAATACTGAGATATCTAAGATGAGAATGTAGTATGAGTAATGCTAAAAATTACTCATAGATAGGTACGATGACCGTACACACAAATCGAAATTGAAATACAGGAGCCACTAAATTGTTTGGCTAAATTACTTTAGCCGTATATTGTGAAGACATTCCATTTAGCATCACTGTGTCCCCCTACCAAAATGGAAGCGTGCTAAAGAACGTTCCTGAGAACGCTAAGAATGCTAAGAACGGCTTAAGAATGCTGGTGCTGCTGAGAATGATCTTATGCCAGTCTCAAGCATTCTTATGACGGTTTAAAGAATCGACAAAAGGGTAGGTGTTGGTAGTTGACAGTTTAGCCAGAGGATCATTTAGCCTGGCTGCTAATTGTGTTGCATGTTACTTCACCACACTTGTGTATTGTGTAGGCAAAAAGCGCCAACTAATGGGCCTGCCGGCTGTCCCTCCACAAGGAGAGAAGTACAATGCGGACAAACTCTTGTTGGAGGTGAAGGAGGCGTTTGGTCATCATGACTATTCATAGAAGGGCATGGCTGGACAGGATACCGCAAATGCTGGTGAGATTTTTACCCGCTGAACCTGTTGGCTATTGTGTGAACATTTATGGCATATCCACCTCACCATGCAGCAGGTGTTGTAGTTGAGTGTTTGGGGTGTCACTACCTCGTGCTTTGAATTAGTATGCTTTGCATTATCATTTGTATATTGTCCTATGTACTGTATCACCTCACTATTGTATAACACTCTGCAGGTGGGGAGTTGGAGGCCCTATGGCATAAACATGCCGGTTACCGACCGTT